TAGTGACCTTGTCTAAGGGAAATGACTGGAGGGATGAAAAAGTACCAGAGGACCAGGAAGAGAACCATAAGGAAACGGGACATTTCGATATATGACAGGTGGGTGCATTGCATAGCCCCCTAACTGAAAAATAAATGATGTCAAGGATTCTGAAGGTCTTCTGGGCATGCCTGATGCTAGCTTCAGGGGCTTCTTCATAGGCTTAGGTAGATGGTTGAAGAAAAAGCGGTCCCTTGTCACTTAAAGGGCATCATTTCTTTTGAAAAGCTTAGTCCTTCTGTAAACCTCAAACTTACATTATTTTGGCTCTAGCACATGCCTGGCATGAGTTCTCCCAGAGGGAATTGTTAATGTCACTTGGGCTCTCGGAATTATTGATGAGTTTCAGGGTTTGTGGAATTAATGGGCTTCAGTCGTGAGTAGGGATGGGCATGTTGCTTTAAGAAAGTCAGCAAGTCACCCCAGAGGAGCCTCCCTCATACTGGCTAATGAGGGTGTGATTATCCTAGATGCAAACTGCTGGATGAGAGCAAACCTCATTCAACCCCCAGGTACCCAAGGTCCCTCTGAAACCGTGAAATGGATAGGACAGTAGAGACCCTCAGGGCATAACTTGGTCCCTTTAAAGAAACTGACTGTGGATAAAGTGTCCCTGTGACTTCACATGTAGGGCTTTCCCTCCCTCCCGAAGAACACCTGATCCTCCAGCAGTTTCCACGCAGCGCAGAGGTGAGCGCGAGGCTCGGGGTGCTAGGAGGAGCCCACTGGAGCAGGGCTTCCCAAAGTGGAGTGGAGCAATCCACATCTCTGAACGTGCCCGGAGAAAGAGTTCCGAGGTCAAGTTGGAAAATGCCCTCATAATCTAACAAGCAGGCTTCTCTGTTAATAGACTTTCAGAGCCTTTGCTATATTAATCTTGAGTGTGACTTTCTAGGCTAAGACAGTAGGATGCAGTGTTTACCAAACTTATTTGATCATAGAAGCTTGTTTGTGATGACCTCATAGAACTAATAGTCCGCAAAATTCACACTGAGAAGTACTGTGTGAGATAGATGACCCACTTTAAATCCTCCCTGGAACAAAGTAGAGTAAGTAGAATATAAAAGTCTTGAGGTGAGGGGATACATCTCATCTCTGTATACCCTAGAATTAATGCAGGCCTGGCATCGGATGGGTGCTGAGTAATGTTTGTTGACATTAAGAACAAAATCATCAAATTTGAAGTTGCTTTGACCTTCTTCCTGGGTTGGTTACACTGGAAGGAACTAACAGATCATCTCATTTAAACTCTTATTTCATAGATGAAGACATTGAGTCCAAAAGAGGGAAGGTAACTTTCCCAAGATCCCACAAGTTAGGCAGGCAGGAGGTACCAGAACCTAGGTCTCCTGTCCACCCATCGATTCATTTCAACAACTATGTATTGCGAGTCTGCAAGGCATGAATTAGGCCCAAAGTCACCTTGATGGAGATTACATTCAAATGAAGGGAATAAGACATTACTCTAATTGCAAAATGAATAATTTAAGCATACTTGCTACCGTTGCTCTCAGGGAGAAAGACACAGTGCTAGGGAAGCGTGAAATGGTGGCCCTGGGCCGAGACAGGTGGCTCTGAACCCACCTCACTGCCTGCCCACAGGTGCGTGTGGATCCCCATGTCACCTGGCTTGTCTGAGGCCTCTTTGGCAAGGTTCACATGTTTGAGGACCATAGCTTTTGACCCAAATGTTGACACAATTTGAACTTGCAAAAGATTATTTTCTGGCTTGTGATTTTCTTAATGCAGTTATACAACATTAAAACAAATAAATCCAGTGACAATAATAGCAGCTATCGTTTATTGAAAACCTACTTATGTTACCCACTGTGTTAAATAGTTGACATACATCATTTCATTAATCTTCTCAACAACTCTTTGAATTAGGTGTTACCTCCATTTTACAAATAAGAAAACTGAGGCCTAGAGAGTTAAATACTTTGCCAGCTATCCCACATATAGTAAGTAAAATGGTGGTGCTGGGATTTGAACTGAGGTCTGTCCAGCTCCAAAGTCAACTTTCTATTACAACACATGGTTTTGTTTTGTTTTTAAATTTAGGATTAAATATTGTGACATTGGAACTTCCCTAGAAATCTGGATCTGAAAAATATAAGAGTTATTTAGTTTAGATATAAATAATGTAACGTGTGTAGCACAGTGGTATAGACCTTGGGTGTGTGGCAGCTGTCATTGTGGTCACTGTCCTGAAGCATCTACATCAGGGGTTGGCAAACTGCAGCCCACAGACCAAATCTGGCTCCTCACCTGTTTTTGTAAATAAAGTTTTATTGGAACACAGCCACGCTCATGCATTTATAAATTGTGCATGGCTACTTTCAAGCTACAATGGCAGAGTTGGGTAATTGCAACCGAGATGTTATGGCTTACACACCTGAGATGTGTATTATCTGGAACTTTATGGAAAAAGTTTGCTGACTCTGATCTAGATAGATGCCTCAGTTTCCTATTTTGCCTTTGTATAAACCCTACCTGCGTTATGGGTGCAACATGATATTAGTCGAAAAAGAAGGTAAAGGTGAATAGAAGATTCAAATATCGTGTTCGAGCTATAAGTCAGGATTTGTTTATCACGCATAATTATCTTATTTAATCTTCCCCAAAATCCCATTTTATAAGTTGACTGAGGCTCAAAGTAGTAGATGGTGCCTGGGTCACACAGCCTCTGCGAGGCAGAGCCAGCCCTCGAGGTGGTTCCCAAGCATGTGCTGTCGTGCAAGAGATGTTCCTTGCATCTTACCAGGGGCTACATCCTAGAGCAGGAGAAAGCAATTGACTACGATTCTTAGCATTTGGACCCTGTTCCTCCAAGACTGGTTTCAAATACAAATGAGGCTTAATTGACAGGGAGTCCCAGCCAGCTGGACACAGATTTGAATGGGACTAGTCGGGGAATGAGGGAGTCTGTGACTGTGTAGGTCAGGAGGGGTGGCTGATGTTGGCTGCCGAGTTAGAATGCCGGGTAGTCATCTGCACATCGCAGCTGCTCCTGAGCTCATACAGCTGCTTCCTCCATCACTTTTGGGTGGTAATGATGGTGGCTTCTCACCTTTCCCGACAGGCTTCAGCTGTGCCAAGACCATATAGCCAGCACTTGCTTTGAAATTTCTGGAGCCATCCCTTCTTGGCTTGGCATCCACACAATACATGCTTCTTTCTTTAAACGGAAAACACAGTTGATCGATGGGTTGCAGTGTCAAACATCTCATATAACTGAGCATGTTCTTTTCTTTTACTTGGTAATAACAGACAGCTATCAAAAGTCCCTGAAACACTCAAGTTTTAGACTCTAATTGATCGGCCATTTAGTGGGTGCCTACCGTGGCCCCGGCTTTGTACGGGACACCACATTCACATTTGTCCCATTTAAGAATAGCCGGTCGATTTTCAGTTGTTCCATGGCAGGAAATGCCGTCTGCAGCCGTACTTGCAGCCGTTTGCTGCTCATGACACCAAATTCAGTTTTGTAGATGGCAGAGGGCCCTCCACCCATAGCCTTCCCCTGAGACTGAGCAGCGGCAGAGAGATGTAGAAGGTGTGCCAGTGAAAGGCTTTTAGGGATTTTTATTTTTTTAATTTATTTTTATTGTTGTAAGTATTACAGGTCCCTCCTTTTACCCCCATTGACACACACCACCACCACCACCACCACCACCACCACCGCCCCCCGCCCCCGCCTCCCGGCTCTCGCCGCACTTCCTGATAGCTCCTCAGAGAGGGGTTGGCAGGTGTGTTGAAATGGGGACTTGAATGAAAACAAGTGGCAAGATGGAAACTGAAGTGAACCAAGGAGAGGAGCAGATTCCCAGACGTCTGAGCCCACACGCTCAGAGAGAGGGGTTTGAAACCGTGGTCATCAAAAACCTGTAACTCTGTTTGAATGGGGATGAAAACTCCCCACCTTATGATATAGTCAAAGCAGAACCAAGGCCGAGTCTAAACACTGCCTGACCCTCCCTGATGAAATCGTCCGCAGCCCTCTCGGACAGATGGCCGCTCCCGTGTTCGGTTCCCACCACAGTTTGCACGTCTCCCTGAGGGCACTTAGCAGTAAGATATTTTGCTTATACAAATCTGTCTCCTTTGATAAGCTACATGCTTCTCAAGAATAAGAACTAGGTCCTATTCATCTCTGTACCTCCAGTGCCAGCCCAGAGAAGGTGCTTAATAAGTGACAGACAGGCAAACAGATGTCCCGAGGAACAAAGTTAGGGAAGGGCAGGCTGCCCGAGCCTGCGCTTGCCACCGCGGACCGCCCTGGTTCGTCCCTCTCGAGTCCGCCACAGGGCCCCTCTGAGTGTACAGCCCTTCTCCGTGGCTGCAGATAAGACGGGAAGAAAAGACCCAAGGACTCTTCCTCGGAGCAAAGACAGTTGTCTAGCAGTAAACAGGACAAAATAAATGGAAAACCTAAGGTCCGGTACAGTTGACCTAGTAACAAGAGCTGTAAAGAGGCACAGCCTTTGGAATGAGACCCAGGGGTGCTGAGGGGATGTGGGAGTAAACAGGAAGCTGATTTCTTTGTCCCAAATAACTGCCAAAGACAGGAGAAATGAGAGTGAATGAGGAGCAAGGATCAGGTAAAAAGCCCCGCTGGTCGGGTCCCAGCAGGCCGACATCCACTGACGCCCGCTCTAGAATCCAGATCACTTCGAAAGAGGGTTTTCGGTGCAGAAGGTGTGGGTTTCAGACCTATCCCTGCCACTTCCTGACTGTGCCGCCTCCTGACGGTGCAGCTTTAGCGAGTTCTCCACCTCTGAGTCTGGGTCGCCTCTTGATGAAGTGGCAGCTCCTAATGCCACCGGCCTCCCTGGGTGCTGAGGGTGCTGACCTGCTGATGGACGTGGAAGCATTTTGTAAGTTGGCAGGTGGAGTGAGTGCGTGTGAGTGCAGTTGGCCATGGGCGCTCAGACCTCAATTCTGTGTGCTTTGCCTTGCAGAGGGTTGCCCTGGGTTGTGCAATGGCAACGGCAGATGCACCTTGGACCTGAATGGCTGGCACTGCGTCTGCCAGCTGGGCTGGAGAGGAGCTGGCTGCGACACGTCCATGGAGACTGCCTGCGGTGACAGCAAAGACAACGATGGAGGTAGGGCTGCGGCACCCGTGAGCCCACGGAGCTCTGGAGTGAGGGGAGACGCAGGGTGGAGGGTGGGCACTGCTGGGTTAACAGACCACCAGTATGCCAGCTGGCCAGTCAAGGCGGCCTGTAGGACAGGCATAAAACTTCATGTGCTCTAAGGAATGCATGCATATCACTATTTGCTCCATTTGAATTAATTTAAAGTAAGTAAATGAAATTGACTGCCATCCGACAGTAAGTGCAGAGGAGAAGTATATATATGGAAGAAGAATCTTCTAACAATTCAGTAGTGGAATGAGTTGCCCGACAAAGCTGAGATCACCCTCACAGGAAGTGGACAGGAAGGATGCTTCTCCAGGGCTGAGTTACCTTTGGTCAAGGTTTCATCTCTGTTCTGGTGGTAACCCTCACCAAGCACATGGGGGCCACCCTCTGCCCCGTGGGCTTGTAATAGAATTTCTCTTTGCTGTTGAATTTTTTGCGAAGTGCTGGATAGTCAAAACCCTATGGAAAGGAGGTCTGGTCTTGCAGAACATTTGTTTATTACCTGAGAGTTAAGAGATCAGTGTTGATTCCCTGTACATCCTTAAGCAAGCTGCTTGATGTCTCTGGGCCTCATGCTTCCTGTTTAGAGAATGAAGCCATTGGATCATGAGAACCATACCAGTCCTTACATTAGTGCTAGGATTAGTCTTCATCTCTCTGTTGGGTAAACTTGAATAAATACAATCATAATGTGCTCTACTTTCCCAAGAATATGGATTGATTCTTCCTGACTCTACCAATCTTGGGGGTTATAAGGAGAATAAAAAGATAGAAATGTGAAAAAAAAAAAAAGAAAAAAGAAACAGTTAACCCTTCCTTTCTAATGATGTCCTACCAGTTGGCCTGGTCCAAATGTGTTTATGCAGTTCCCTTATATTTATTCCAAGGGACTTTCCAGTATACAGAAGAATATGAAATCAACAGGCCAGAAACTTTGTATCCCACCCTTTGGGAATTTTCTACTTAGAGTGGTTCTATAATCTCCAAGTACTGTAAGGATTAAAAGGCCAGGTGTGTGCAACAGTGATTACTCTGGTTCATTTGCCATGAGTTGGCTGTAGCAACCTGGCAATGGCTGTGTCAGATTGCTGGTCCTTATCTGAGCCAGTTTTCATTCCTTCAGTCTGCTGCCTGCACCCAGGAGATGGCTGGGCCTCTCCACCTAGCCTGGGCCCATGAAAGTACTGTCTACAGAAGCTCGCGGGGTTGGGCCTTGGTTACAGGCAGAGACAGTGGTCCATGTTCTCTTCCTGACACCTTACAGAGTTGTCATTTTCCTGAATCCATCTGACACTTACGGAGTTCATTCATTTGTGTGCTCCATACATATCCAGAGTTGCTTTTATGGGGCCAGGTCCTAGGCACAGAGATAAAGAAGTCTTGTCCCTGCACACCAGGAACTCACGAGGAAGAATGACCCCAAGTTGAGTGCTAATGGGCGGCCATAGCGCTGCTGTCGAGCTGGGTATCGGTAGTAGTGGAAGTAGGCCAGCGCTCATCGGGAAGGGGCTCCTTCAGCAGGTCGGCGTTTCCTGAGAGGAAAGGGCTTTCATTCAGAGAGAGCACATGGCCTAGGCCAGCAAAGCAGGGAAGGGCGCCCAGTATCCCTTGGTGATAGCAGTGATCTTCAGGCTAGATAAAGTGCAATAATGTTTGCTCTTCATAGGACAGAGAGGTTAACCTAAGCTACCTGTATAGTTTCCTAAGCAGTCCCCTTCATCTCGCCTGTGTAGACACAATTGCAGTGACCGACATGAAATTCACATAGTAGAGAAGGGCGGAGCCCGGGCACCAGGATGTCTTTCTCTTCTCGAGTCCAGGGTCTTCGCCAAAGCCTTCAGACAGCTATTGAACATCTGGGTAGAAACGGAACTGAATGTCCTTGAGGAATGTGGGGAGAGGGTGTGTTTCCCCCACAGCACACATACAAAAGATAGTTTATAAAACAAGGTTTGTTTATTCTCTCACGGGAAACGCAATCCCGGTGTATTCTCTGCTCACTGTCCTTCAAAGTCAGCCCAAGTTGACATGGGGAGAGCCCATAGCCCCACAGCTTTGGTGCAAAAGAGAGTTTCTTGTCCTGGGAAGCAGGGCTGATCCAGACCCCAGGGGAGCAGAGTCACCTCTAGCTGCTGAGAGATGAACCAGCAAGAGCTGGAAAAGAACAGTCGGGAAATCCCCCAATCTTTGATTAAGGAGAACATACATACCTCTTAACGTTTATGAAGCATGTTACAGAATGAAAGGTGCTTTTGCTTTGTAGACAAGCCATGTAATAGCTTTAACTGTAACCTGAGAGTATTCACTCACTCGACAAACGTTAACTGAATGTCAGCTCTGCATCTGCTCCTGCCCTGGGTGCCGGGGCTGCAGAGACAAGTGAGACAGTCTGGTGGGAGAGAAACAGCACACGGTGGCCATGCGGGGGGGGGGGGGGGGGGGGGGTCACCGCTGTGATGAAGGAGCATCCCCTCGTTCAGCTGACACTGTCAGGTGCCTGGACGCCCCACTGGGAACTGGTCATGGTTCCTCTCCTGTCGGGCGCCCAGGCTAGCCAGGAGGACAACCCTTGGGTCATTATGACTGGGGAGAAAACCAACTGGGGAGTGTAGATTATTGAGGGTGCTTGGCCTTGAGTTCTTAACTGTGAAATGAGGAAACAGTGGGCTGTCCACCCTTTGGAGGAGCCGGCGGGGGGGGGGGGTCCCTGCTTTGCACAGTGGCACAGATGAAACAACCCTGTGGGTGGAGACAGGCCCATCCTCACTGGCCTCTCTGTCACTCTGGGTCTCGACCAAGTGGGGGCGGTCTTAGTGGAGGGAGAAGCAGGGCAGGCTGTCCAAGGCCGCGCGGGACTCAGCTCTGGGCTGTTTTCAGTTCAGTCGGGCACACATTTGCCAGGTTCCTGCTGTCTGCAAGTCACCAGACTCCTTTCCGATGGGTACGAAGACCAACGAACACGGCCCAGTCTTCCTCCCTCAGGCAGCTCATAGTCGTCTGGAAGAAACGTTACCCAGACCACTCCATCCAACGGAGGCAGGATGAAGTCGGTGCCTTCATTCCAGCCATGATGCGGGACACAGCAAAATCCCTCACAAGTCAGTCAGGGTGGAGGGAAGAAGTGTCAGGGTCTCGCTGAGTGAGTGTCCTTGGCTGATCTGACTCAAGGGCATGGAGAAGGAATCAGCAGTTGAATGTCGAATGACAGGACTGGAAGGGACAGAGGACATCAAGTCCAGCTCCCTCCTCTACTCCCCTGCATGTTGCAGACAGGGAAGCGGGACCCCCAAAGAGGGAATGTGACATCGTACACATCAAAGCCACACAGGAAGTCATGAACACGGCCTGGACCAACACCCAGGACTCATTCCACGTGACCCCAAAACCCTAGAGCACTTCCACCTTCTCCTGGTGACCGATTGACCCGCCTGCTAGAAATGTAGTGTGAGTACTTACATGAATTGAAGTAGGCTATGGCAGCATCACAAAGCCAACCGGAGTATGAGAAGAATAACTCGCACCATTTCAGTTTGCAAAGCAATTGTTGTCCCCCCGACATCACTGGGAGGCACGTGGTATTCCTGTCCCCTTACTGTTTCCCTGTGAGGAGGAAACCAGGGCTCACACAGCCTGCACCGAGCAGAAACTGCCATGGTTTGTGAGGTCTGGCCCCAAGCGAGCTTCTGGGGTGCCCAGACTTCAGAACCCCCGCTGTGGTCCTTGAAGTTATCTGAGAACTCCCAGTTTCTCGTCTTTCCCAATTTACTAGGCTTAAAGCAAACCTTAACAAATTAAACTTGAATTTCAAGCTTCATTGAAAATGCAGTTGCAGTGTTATTAAACTATGAGACCAAAAAAAAAAGTTATACAATGTGGCTGAGTTGGGTTTAGCTGTACTGGTTTGTTTCGTTTGTGTTTATGGTTGTTGTCTAGATTTAAAAACAAGAAGCAGACCCTGAGTGGGACTCAGTGATTCCCAGCCTCCCGGTCCTCCGTCAGAGCTGCCCAGCCAGTCTCGAATGCCCCCAGATTTCACCCAGGGCACTGCTGGGGAGAGGGAGCAGAGGGCGGGCAGGCACCGAGGCGCTGGTGCACCAAGGTGAATCCCCCGGGGTGCCCACTTGGTGAAGAAGGTGTGCCCCGCCCCCGTGGTGCCTTTTACCAACCCCGTGTGAAGTGCTGCCACAGGCTTCTTCCCATTTGTTCCACACGGACCTTCAGCAGGGTGTTCCTTTCCTGCCCATGTCAGAGGTGATGAACGTGCCCAAACGTGCAAAGCGACTATAAATAAAGGCCCACAGTGCCCGCCTCGCAGGGCCGCGGCGGGGTTGCAGGTGGCACGTGTCAAGGGCCTGCGAGGCGGCACAGCTCAGTGAGCCAGAGTGGAGGAGCTGTCCCCAGGTTGGATTCACACCGGCTCCCGTGGGCTGCGTGACCTGGAGTGAGTCACTCGACTTCCTCACCTGCAAATCCGGTTCTCTTTCTCCTGCTCCTCTCCACCTGGACTCGCAGAAGCATGATACTGATTATGAAAGAAATATCCATTCATAGATAAATAATCATTCTTAAACATTGAAATGATGCTCTCTCTAAAATTTTATATTCTACTTCTTCACTTATGAGTATACTATTTTTCTCCATATAAGGTATTTTGACCTTTTTTTATTTCTGGATCAAAATTTATATTTCAAGCCCTGGCCTGTTTGGCTCAGCAGTTAGAGCATCAGCCCACAGACCAGAGGGACGCGGGTTCGGTTCCCACTAAGGGCATGTAGCTCGGTTGCGGTTTGTCCCCGGCCCCGGTTGGGGTCATGTGGGTGGCAACCACTCAATGGGTCTCTCTCACATTGATGTTTCTCTCTTTCTCTTCCTCCCTCTTTCCCTCCCACTCTATCTGAATATAAATGCAAAAATGTCCTCGGGTGAGGATTTTTAAAAAAAATTATATATTAAACTGTTAT